GAGTCAGCACTCGTTAACCAACTGACCCAAAGCCGGAGTTGAATTTTATGTTCGCACATTTTTCTCTAAATTTGCTCTGAAAGTTTTTTATTAACAAATTCACTTGCTATGTTTATATTAGAACGAAATCATAGACCAGCTGTAGAATAATTGAACTAATTAATCGTATTTTTATTTTTATTTTTATTTGTTAAATTTCGATACTATTCTGTTTGTAGAGGCATTATTTGTTGCATGATTTATATATTCTTTCTTATGTATAGAACCTAATCTAGGAACGTAATACTGAGAAAGTCATGCCTAATGTTACTCCACGATTCGCACGGATGAATTATTTATCTATAAAACTAAAATTATATGAAAATATTTTGACAAATAATTAAAACCGGTATTTATACCATTAATTTTCTCGGGATATCTAAATTTAATACGATTTTTATGGATATGAACAGAAATATTATTCAGATTAATTACATACCGAAAATAAATATCTTTTTTAATAAATAGGATAATAATTGTCGTAATCTTTGTAATTATAATCTTTTTTAATAATAATTGTGATTCTTCAGTTAATTTTAGTATTGATTACTTCAGTAACTACTTAAAACCCAAAAATATACACTGATATCCATTCATTCATCTAACTCAAAGATAAAGATTCCAAATAGAAAGTATTTGTTATCGGAGACATTGATCCACAAAAGAGTGTTAAAAAAGAAGAATTATAATGGCGTAAATAAGAATCACTTTTATAAATTATTTTTTCATCGAGGGGGTTATATTTAGAAATGATCAGGTGTAAATTACACATGAAATACTAATATATATTGGGGTCTTTAAACAAATGGGGTTATATTTAGAAATGTTCAGGTGTAAATTTTACATGAAATACTAATATGTATTGGGAGATTTTGGGATTTATTTACCTATAAAGGTTTCTAATTGGACTAGAACTCTTACTACTATACCTTCTTCAAAAAAATTTATAGAAATCGTTCTATTTATAAGATCTGTTTACTTTTAAATATTCTATTATTAGTTGAGTCAATGCACTTGAACACTTTTACTCTTCATTACTTGCGAGGTTTGTTCATAACCCCTCTCTACACCTTGTCTGGATTATTGTTTATCACTTCATGAGACTAAGCAACACTTGACCTCAGATCTGCATACTTCCCCGTGGAGCCTGTAACTATTCTGAGATTCGATAACGCGGTGTTGGTATGCCTGTTAGTTTTCGTGAATAATTTCAGGGGTATATCATTTATATATTTTTTGATCAGATCAATCTTGAATATTCTAACTTCTTCTAATAAATTAAAATAGTATTTTTCATAAAGAACTATGTACATAAAAAATATTTAAAAATATATTTGTATAATACAGTATCAATATTAGATGAAACATCCTCCACATTTAACCTTTAAACACACATTCTACATAAATTTGACTGTAACCTTCAACAGAAACTTTTTATAAGACAAAAAAAACAACAACAAAAAAAACAAAAAACATGTTGCATCACGAAGTTAACTCTTTTACTTTTTATTTTAATTTTCTTAGATAAGAAATATGCATAAAGATTGAATTTTATTACGAAAGTAAAGTTGAAGAATTTTCATGCAAGGATGTTACCTTCAGTTCCTGTGCATTAGAGATGCCCTTTATGGACTTTCTATTTCCAAGGGTTCACACAATTTATTTTGTGAAATGTCAAAGCCACTAAACTGCAGTCAGCTGAGTTTATTTTCAATATTTATGCTTTTGCTTTAGCTTCACTTTCTGCTTGTTTTCATTGTTTTCACAATTTTGTCTGGCAAACAAAATTTGTTGCAATTTTCTTTTAAAATTTTTGCAAAATTCAAAACAACAACAAATTTACTACGTTTTCACGTGGGTGCGTATTTTTTTCTCTTTTCAACTGGTTTTCGTATGCTTCACACAGATAATTGTATAAAACAAATTATGTTAATGGAGTTTTTAGTGTAATTAAATATTTGTTATGTTGTGGAAAATATTTGCTGATACCGTGATTTTCAGTTTTATTATTTGTTTACGTCACAGTTTAGAAAAATACACAAAAACAAAACACGTCTATTCCTGAGGTATTTTTTTGTTTTGCTTTTCAAACACATTCTTTAATTTTTATTTTGTTGCTCACTGTTTTCTACACACACAAGCATACGAAGTTACCGCAGTCATTGCTGTTTTTGCTTGACGTACTATTATTTCTTTGTTAATTACAATATTCTTATTCAAGTTTTTATTCTTATTTCATATATTTTGCAAATATAATCAAAAATTTACAATTAATTACTATTGTTTTGTTAATATAGCACTTTATTTTCTTTAATAAGTTTATAATAAACGTGCATATAATATTGGTTGAGAGAAAAACAGCACACACAAAAACATCCGCGAACTTAGCCGCTGAGCTGACGTCTGTCTTCATACATTTTATTCACCAACCATCTTTCACAACAATTCAATTCACACTGAAAGAAGCTCCAGCACGTTTATTAGTGTGTGTTTCAGTTTTAACATTACACAAAATTTGAACTATGACGACATAACGCTGCACATATTCTGTCAAAGACATTTCTGTTTACTATTAAATTACTATTTTTCAACGATTAAATATTTGAGATTTAAAATTCAATCAATTTATAGAAAATAATATTAATTATATCCTTTGATTACTAAAATACAGAAGTTACAAGTAGAAAAATATTAGAAATAAAATTATTTTTAATTATTACAGCAGTTGGCAACACTACAAATTTTCATTAGTTTTTAATTCTCTTTCATATGACTTTCATGTAAACAAAACAATTACAATTGGCACATCTTGCTAGAATTATAATGTCGGTAAGACATTCTATAAATTCCATTACTTAAAAATTTGTATCTCTTACATGTATTGTCTAATTTCTAACATAACATAAGAAATTCATGATCGTTGATATATAAATTGCATTTATTTTAGGTTTTTATAAATACAATTAATAAATTCGTATTAAATTTTAAATCATAACTTGATTTATTGCAATGAAACAAAAAGTTGTGTTAATATAGCGTACAGCTTGCTAAAGCATGATATAGACGATGAAATTTGTTTGCAAACAAGGTTTGCTGGCTATCAAATTGCATCGTCTATACTCAAGTTTGCAAACCAAAATTTGGTTTGCAAACTAGTTTGCAGTGAAATTAAAATTTTTCAATTATTTGTTAAGTTTGCAAACATGTTTACTTGTGTATATCGAAGTTTGCAAACTTCTCATAATTTAAGAATTTTGGTGAGCGTCGGACTAGCAAAGATTACAGAAAAAAATTATTAATTCTTGGTAAAAAGAAAAATAAATGAAAAATAATTAAAAAATTGCTAGACATTAGACAATTATTGAAGAAGTTTATATATTTTAAAAATTATTTTGTGCTAAAAACATTTTTATAGTAAGCTTAAATATTAAACAATTATTATATGAATAAAAATTTTAAAATGTAACATATTAAAAAATTGAAACAAAAATAATTTTAGTTTAAAAAATGAAATAAATAACAGGTTGCTATGATCATCACCTCAATTTCTTCAGTTTCAATTATTGTTTTGCACTCTGTACTTACTCCGCTGTTGATATTAACGCTGTAGAAAATAAATAAAAATGAAGTTTGCCAACCTTGTTTCAAAGTGTATAGCAAAGCGCATATTCGGTTTGCAAATTTGGTTTGCAAACAAATTTCATCGTCTATATCATGCTTAAGCTTACTAAACCCGTTCACGGGATTCGCACGAGAGTTTTGTTTGTAATTTTAGCTGCCAAAAAGTTTTAATTTGCATTGAAAGCAACAACAATTGACAGCTAAAATTAAAAATAAAACTCTTTTGACTTCAGTATTAGTTCACATTAGAGAAGAATTAAACAAAAGTAATAAATGAGAAAATATTAATTAAGATAAAATACGATATGAGAAAAAACAAATTTAATTTCATCTTACTTTTTTCACTTTCTGTTGCTATTTTTTTACTTTTATAAATCAAATAAAACCAAAATGTTGTTTATCTAGTTTAACTAGATATATTAACAGAAAATTATGTTACTTTACGAATTATTTCCGATTCCTGTCACTTTACTGAGCTAACTCTGCATTGTTTGTTATAACGAAATTCCAAATTTAACAGAAACTATACAACTATTTCATTTAATCGATCATAAAAATTAATTAATATTATATTCAAACTTCAAAATTAATGAATGTGAGTCTTCTAATTATTTCTAATTGTTATTATATATTTACATAACATGATTAAGAAAGTTTGGATATCGAAAGAGCGTTTGACTTAAAATAAGTGAGAGATTAGTTCATCAACTCAGCTTTTCAATTTCCTTATGTACAGTTTAGAGTTTAATGACTTATAGGACTTATTAAGTTCTTGTTGAGTCTTAAGCACCGAAGATGAATAAGATGTATCTAACTCCCAGTTTTAGTACTTAAACAGATATTAATAAATATTAAATTGTAACCCAAGAGGTTACAATAAATCCTTAGCTATTAACCTTTACATTGAGAGTATGTATTTTGAGAATTTTATCAAAATAGACAAATTATTATTTAATGACAAGTTTCTTAGTAACAAGTTTTTCTTATGTACAAGCATCTTATAAATATGTTTGTAAATGAAATATTTATCATAAAAAAAATTTCGGTAGTAACAGCTCAGGTAGTAAATTTCAATCAATTTTCCACAAACAATAAAAACTCACGGATGTCGTTAATTTTAAGGAATTACCTGATTGTGATTATTCAGCAATTCTTCAACGAAATTTTGAAATAACCTTGATATATGCCAGATAAGTAATTATAAATACATTTAACCGTAGTTAAAAGCAATTCTTATTTTTATTTTAGAATATGTATAAATAGCTCAATTCAATATTAATAAATTCATTTTCAAGATATAACTCAATAGTGTGACTTCGTACTAACATCGTTATTTTGTGCATGTTTTTAAGTTATCGTTTGAAGTGTATCTCTCCTATTAAAAGTAATATTTTTTCTCAACGCGGTAACCCTGCTTGAAAGCATTACAGTTTTTGACATTTCATTTGTAAACAAATATTGCTTGGAACCAATTTTTACATAAAATAAATCCTGCATCATGATTAGTGCTTTAAATAATTCTGTAGCAAACACCAGCGGAATACCTGATAAAGCATGGCAACCACATTTTGTTACACTGGAAACTACGTAAGTATTAAAATAATAATTATCATTTTTAAAGCGTGCTATTTCTTTTGAATATAGAAGTGAAATGCTATTTGCATCGTACCCTTCTCTTCATGTATAATAACAAATTACTTTTTGATCTTTATAGCATGGGAGAGATTACAATAGAATTATACTGGAAACATGCACCCAATACGTGCCGCAATTTCGCTGAATTAACACGACGTGGCTATTATAATCAAGTTGTGTTTCATCGAATAATACGTGATTTTATGATACAAGGTGGCGACCCCACCGGCACTGGGCGTGGTGGTGCTTCTATTTATGGTGGTGAATTTGCTGATGAAATTCATTCTGATCTAAAACATACCGGAGCTGGCATATTATCAATGGCAAATTCAGGTCCCAACAGCAACGGTTCACAATTTTTTATAACATTAGCGCCAACTCAATGGTTAGATGGTAAGCATACAATATTTGGACGAATTTATTCTGGAATGGAAGTTGTAAAACGCATCGGCATGGTTGAAACTGACAAGAATGATCGACCCATCGATAGTGTTCGCATTGTTAAAGCAAAAGTCGAAAAAGTTTAATTAATCTAGAATAAATAATGTATTTATAAATAAACTTTGACTACATTTTATCAATAAAATTAAACAAGTGATTAAACTAAATTTTTTGAAAATTTTAAATTGTGTGAACATGTAGTTTCTACCCCAAGCTACAATAGCACACACAATATATCGTCCTACATAATATTGTCCAGCATATCAACGAGGCGCTTAATTTCCCGTCTGTAAGAAATTTAAATTTATTAAATTGCAAATTAATCAAGACTGCGATAGATTTACATGCGTTGACCCAATTGCTCTGTTGGCTTCATGGATTTTGTTATTTCTTCAGTTTTTGCCATAATCGTATACATGCATTTAATATTTGCATCCATGCTATCAGTTAATTTATTCACAGCATTTTTATGCACATCTATGTTGTCAGCAGTTATTGCCGAAATCTAAAAAAGTATATTGATTTATTTTATTTAAAATTTTTAAATAGTAAACCTACTGAATGCAACAAGTTGCAAAGATTTTCTGTTAAATTATCAACAGAAGCAGCCAAGTACTGTGCTTCAATTTCAATGTCATTGAGGACATTAGCATCAATTTGTGGCACCTGCGTTTGCAGGTAATGTCGTGTTAATGGGCCACTGGCTGAGGGTGTACTATTACGTGAAGATGTGAAACCATATTGATCTTTACATTGTAAAAAGAAAATTAATTAATTAACAGAAAGTAAAGAAATTTTATATTCAGAAACCTTTATTTGTTGGACTAGAAATACGTAGCTTTTCTTCTAAATCATCTGCAACGAAGTGCCGCATTTTTTCCTCTGTACTAGTTGAGCTCTCGAGTTCATAAGGAACGGCTATAATATTAAATCAAATTATTCAAATGAATATAAATAACTTAAACCAATACAAACATGAATCACACTGCAAGGAATTAGGTCGTTTTGGGTTTTTATTGTTATCACCACAACTGCTGCCCTTAGAATTATCATCATCATCTCCAGATTCATCTTCTATACTTTCCTCTCTATCCATAACATTTTTAGTTTCTGTTGGTGTTACATCATTTAAAGCGTAATCAGGTACCGCACCAGGATATTGTGCTAGAAAAGGTATTTCAGAATAGGATGATGCCATTTTCTCCGATGTTGAGGTTTTTCTTGTTTTTATAGGCACAGCTGATGCACTCTCGTTTTCCACTAATTCATCTATGCCATAACGTGGTCTGATTGGAATATCTTGTGTGTGACGCGACATATGTACACAAAATAGAAAATAATTTTTTCTTTGTCTCCAGTGCAATGTTTTCGTTTCGTGCAGAAAAACTTGTAAACAAAAGCCAGAGATGCCATCTTTTCCAATACAATTTGAAAATATTAAATATTAAGAGTGGCCACAAATAAAAAAATAGTTATATTATGTTGCCTTGACTTACCCTACAGTAGATAATATATGAGCAGCCATTTATCAATTTATGTCCTTTTCGCGTGATGGTCACATCTTGTCATATTTTCTTGTCCCGGTAAAAATAATTACATATGTGTGATGGTACGCATTTCTTACTATTTAAAATATTATATTAGAATTTAATTTAATTGTTATTGTAAAAAATCATTGTAATTTTGTTAATCACATATATGACTAAAAATGGTAAAACTTTAATTTTTCGTGAAGTAAAGGATGCGGTAAAGCTGTTAAAATATTATGCTTATAATATGACAAAAATAAGAATAATGGTTACTACTCGATAAAAAAAGTTAAATACTATATAAGTAATTATATGAGAACGACTTTACAATCGCACTGATTCATTCAGCGGTTTTGTTCATTATAACCACTTATCAACATGAATTAGATGAAGCTCATTATCAACAAATCAGCTCATTTAAGCCGAAAATTGTCGAATACAACCCTTAAATCTCCCACAAGGGAAATGACCAAAGTTTGAAATAGATATCAAATAATTTATCAGTAAAATTTAGTTTGCTTACAACAACTGAGCTATAAACAAAAACAGTAAATAAACTGTAAATAGTAAAGTGAATAAATTAAATATTATTAAACAATCCTTGTTTTTATTAGTTGAATATGCAAATGATATGCAAAATGTATATAAATGATTTCAATTATATTTTTAATATTTTGTGTTATATATTATTAGGTGAAGTTTATAAAAGTTCAATCAGCTGCATAAACGGGCTCATTACAATGTGATCGTTCACTCATTAATGTAAATGAATAAGTGCCTATATGAGACAATGTGAATGTATTATAAAGTAAGATTTGCCAATAACATGGATTAAATCAATTATATATTTTGGTTATGAATATCAAGTATTTTCATATGCCAAATTAAATTACGAATATTTACATTCTGAAAATATATTTTCAATATAGTATTCGAATTATTTGATATAAATTCATTTATATTCATCTTCATTCGCTACTGAAACTAAATAAACTGCTTTAATAATAGAAACACATAAATGAATTCATGATTAGGATAATTTACGGAAAACTGTGAGTTTCTTTTCGGTTTGTTTGTTTATAATTTCCTAACAAATAAATTGTAAATCACGTGAATAAGCTCCATATTTATGTGTGGTAACACAAATTGAAATGAAAATTATTGAATATATATTCGTCCTCTAAGCAGTAATCTTTGATAATTACTACTAGGTAATTATATACAATAAAATATATTTTTTTCTTTTATATATTTATTTTTTCTAAGAATTAGATAAGTCAGATAAGTACACGAAAGCTGAAAACAACTTTTAACACTGTCAAAAACAATTAATAATCAATTGTTTGATAATACCTGAATATATTATAATATATAAATCAGTTTAATAAATAATGTATAATTGCTGCAATAATATAAAAATTCAAATTTTTTTATTAAACTTAATTTAATTTAAATATTTATTACTCTATGCTGTAAGGAATTGTATAGTTTGACCAAACCATCTAATTTATTTAGCAAATACACAAACCGTTTTTACTTAAATTTCTTGAAAATTAGTTTAAATATTTTCTTGCACGATAGAAAGTATCGTATGATAGAGTAGGAGAGATATATTTCACAGAGCAGCCATTATTATTTAAGGCAATTATTAAAATAGTGTTACCAGTTCGATATTAAATGGTAAATTCTCGAATATTCTTGAATATACGAATTTTAATTTTACTTGTTGATAAACTAATATTTGTTTTCATAGTAATATATAACAACTGTGTTATATCATTTCATTTACATGCATTATTTTTATTCACAAATTTATAAAAGAAATCGATAACATGTTTACACAGCACGTGTAGTTGTAATTGAAATGGTATTTCTGGATTTGCGGCTTCTTTGATACGCTATGTACGAAAACCACATAAAAATATTTGTTTTCATAAGTTTTGGTTTCATGACCAAAATGTTTATTAATAACTTGGTTTTTGAGATGGACTCATTGGCCAAGTATGAAATAATATACTTTTTTAAGTAATTTGTTTCTAAAAATTTTCTTTTATATAGCTATATTTCGACTATATTCTATAGTCATCTTCAGGGGTCTAATATAAAGATATACATATATATCTCTCGGATCTTTCATATAAAGATCCGACAACTAATAAATTGCTACTGAATTGTATATTATATATTAATTTGAAAATCACAATTGTTTACCGATATTTCCAAGCATTGCTGGGGCTGGCCTTTGACATTTATATTTGAACATAGTATTTCAAAGAAATTAGGATATGTTGTTTTTTAATAACATGTTTATTTTTTGATTTTTTTTTTATGAAGCAAGCCTAATGGGTAAAAAGACAATAATTTGTGTTATGCAAATGGACTCTATGAAAGAAAACTTACAATAACCGTAATTTTTTCTTTCAGAGTAGCAAAAAAATACTTACAACTTACAAAAGAACATATGTGGAGCATTAGGTCTTCAGCATTAGGTTTTACTCGCATAAAAAACTTAAAACTAAGTTTTGAATGCGCCCAAATTCAAAAATCAGTCTATTGTGATTAATCTATTTAAGTCGTTTGTATTATATCATATTGTACATAACACAACAAAAACTATATGTCAAACAAAAGCATTCAACATATGTTAAAAGTGCTGCCAATTTCTTTCAACCAGAATTAATGTTATTTTTTTTCTTGCTCTGAAAGAGCATATATTAATTTAATATATATGCAATATGCAATAAATTTAATATTTAATTTATTTAATATTCTTCTATATATGTTTCAGCAATAAACTCCCTTTTATATATTCCTTTTAAACATATTGCAAATATAGCAACACTGTTTCATATAAAAACCTTTGTGTTAAAAAGAGATAGAAGTAATAATTTTTCTTTGAAAGCAATGTGTTATGGAAATTTTACTCAGTTCTATCGAAACCTTGATTGTGGTTGAATGTGTCGCGTGAATGAAAGGATTTAAAGTGGTAGCGTGGAAAAATGGCGAGCTTTCTAAATAAAAGAAAAATACCACTTTTTCTTTAGTTTCATATTTAGACTTAGTGGATGTGCAATAACGACAAATTTCTGTTTTAAATATTAAAGTAAGCAATGTTTACTTAAAAGTTTTTTATTTAAAAATATATAAATCATCCATTATCTTGGAATGAAAACAAAAATAATGTGTTCAATAATAACAAGAAAATAATCCAAGAGCCATTTTGTGCTTAGCAGTCTTCACTGGTTGTGTGAAAGAGAAGTGATGAAGTCTGTATTATGAAAAGTTATACAGGGTGTACAGTTTCCTTTAAAGGCATTATGTACTGCTGAAATGTAAATATTATGAATAATGCAACATATACAATTTTTATTTTTTAAAATTTAAATAAATGTAAAGCTTTTCGAAATTGGTAAGAATACAAATAAATAAAAATATTTTGTTGTATGTGTTTGGTTATGTGATTGATGTGTTTTCACACAGTTTTACTAAAAATACAATTTGCTTATATTCTTGTCGACGTGACTTCTTTGTCGTTTGACATAGTTTCTTGCTATTGGATTTCTATATGTAAAAAAAATAATGACTAAAATAGTAGAAAATATAAATAGATTCTATTACACAATTATATATATTGTAAGTCTAAAGTATGAAATAAAAAATGTGATTGAATAATAATTTCCAGATTTTCGTGCTTTAACTCATAATTAAATAAAATAACAATGGAACGGAATGCACCTACTTAAATATTTTATATAAAGCACTTACAGAAGTCATAGAGTATGAAAGAAATATTAATCTAAAAAATAACACGATCTACTCTCCTTACTAACACTAAGATTTCTGGACTTTATAGCAATAACATGAACCAATGATCCAAGCAGAAACCGAACTGCAAAATCATCACTGGTTCCCGAACTGTACTGCGGGGAAAGAAATTGTGTTATATATACTTAACCATTAGAAAAGCAAAATAAATACTATTATACAATGAATAAACGAAATCAATGATAATATAATCCCCATATTCAGTGAGTGTTACTGTACAGGTCAGTTCAAAACCAACTAAAACTTTTGTCTGCAGAGATCATGGTATTAGGTTGTACTCTCGCGCTTGATGTTTCTATCTTCTTGGCGATTTCATCAACGCCATCTATGATTGCAATTGCAAAACATTTAAATGTACGCTTTCCAAAAGGTGTTGGATTTAATACTCTTCTAAAGGATTGTCTTAGGGTTTTTAAACAATATGTTCATTCCGCAAATGATATGTAAACTGTTGTTAAGTTATAGTCATTATTAAGCCAGTATAGTCAAACGTTGTGTTAAAGGGAACTTTTGTTCTTCAAATATAAGGTCGAATATGTGTTAGAGAGCTAGAAACAAATTATAACACTGGAAAAAATAATTAATAAAATCGTGCTATTATCATTAGATATCACAGATGGAAATAAAAGAAATGTGATAGCATAGGTTTTCTTAAAAATAAAAATTGTTGTTTATACTAAATAGGACCTACATATTGACTAATAGAAATTGTTGTTCTAGCTCAGGGCTGAATATCAATTTCTAGATAAGATCGCGGGCCAATACCAATCATTGTACAGATTGGAGGGCCGCAGAAATAAATATATACGTTTATAATTGTGTTGGAGAAAATAAAAATACGAATATGGTTAATAATGTCAAATTTAGTTTTATAAATTTAATTTCATTGAATTGGTTTACCATAAAAATAAAATAATATAATTTTACCAAAGTACACCAAAAGAAAATTTGCACAATTATGGTAGAATAGAAATATATTGGTGGTCGCACAAACATTAACCGCGGGCCGCATGTGGGTCCTGCTTTG